CCCACCACCACCACACAGACACCCTTGCGTATTTTCTACATCGCAGTGACACAGTGTGTAGGACGTCCATCTGTTGAAGACCGACACTTATCTCCTCAATAGTGGGTGACCAACTTAGACTTAGACAATTTCAACTGTTTATACTGGTATGCTTCCCTGGAAGTTGAGGTTGTTTCAGAATGCTCACATGTCTGCTAGGGTAGTAGTGTAGATCGCTTCCCGGCCTTTTGGCTAAGATCAAAGGTGGTATCTGTTCTCAGCTTCTCCCCCGGCCTTGTGCCCTGTGGTTTAGCGAGGCAGATACTGCCCAAGAGACGGAGAAATCTGCCCCTCTTTTTCTTCATCGAGTGAACGGTCATCGTCCATAATATAAAATAAATTTTTTTTTTTTAAAGTATAGATTGTGAAGCGCATAGAGCTTTCTGTTGAGCGGGGATTTGCGCTATACAAATTCTATCTATATTAATTATCTATTATCATTTACTTGTATCGTCTTCTGCACTCTGGGCATCTGTGGTCTTCGAAGGCATTAACCCTTTTCCCGCTCTTTTCTCCTAACATTTCCTTTTCCTCTGGTGTGTATTAACCCCTTAGGTACTACACGACCACCTTGTGTACCGATACGAGATCCTGGAGGTGCTGGGCAAAGGGTCTTTCGGTCAAGTGGTCAAGTGCTACGATCACAAAACTGACGGGATGGTAGCGGTCAAGATAATTCGAAACAAGAAGAGGTACAAGAACGCACATAATGGTTATGGAACTCGGCACTTGGCCAAGAGTTATGACTGTTTAAGAACTTACTAGGCAGTTATGGGATGCTGTGCAAGTCATCTGTGTTAGCTTTTCTCTCTTTTTTCCTCTCTTTATATTTTTACTGACATGCTTGCAACATTAAAAAATTACCTATTTGTCTGTTTGAACAAGTAGTTGCTTAAACTAAACCTCCTAGCTTGTTTTTGTTTTACTGTACCTTTTAGACACATATATAGTTTGATTTCCCTTCCTTATGTAAACGCCATGAACCAAATAGCTGATCTTTGTCTATAATTTCCCTTACTTATTTCTTGCCACTAACAAAGGTTTGTCATTTCGTTTGACACTCCAGTCATCATTTATTTTGTTGGCTTTCCGATATTTTAGGAACCTGTTGAAACAAAATATTACGTAAGCAGTTCGTATTAATATTATAAGCCCTAAGCCTAGACAAAAATAGTGAGCTACTTATCCCGATATCTAGCCCAGAGGATTGTTCTAAAGATACTTAATGCTAAAGAGGATTATTGCCTTGTAAACAATACTTAATGCTTTACAATATTACAATTGTAATGCAAAAAGCACTCACTGTTTCAGAGGATTCTTAAGAATATTATTTAATGGGACAACGAATTATTGTACATAACACTTTAAAAAAAAAAATGTTATAATGTTCAGCTGTCAATAACGTAGAATCTCTCTTCCCCAATCACAGTAATAGTAATATCGTTGTAACTGCTGTCATTAGCAAACCTCACTTTTTCCATCTTTGTTTTATTCAACATTAACTTGAGTTAGCACACCTCAAATATATACTCATACTGCTATTTGTTCCGAAAGTCACTAGGTCCAATACACTTTGTTATTAAATACTATTTTATGCCTTTTTATTTTGAAGTATGCAGCAATATTATATGTATGGAGATTCAGGCCGAGTTGTAAAATATAACTACGGGAAAACAAATAGTCGATGTTGTTTTGTTTTTTTTCTCAAACAACAGCTCACTAAATCACTCTCTCCACCTTT